GTGTAATCCAGGTGTGTGCGTGTGTCTGCAGGTGTAATCCAGGTGTGCGTGTGTGCATGTGAGCACCCGACTCTCTGCTTCCCATGCATGTGTGCATATTACTGAACGTGAGCACACATCTCTACATGCATGGTGTTGAGCCGGTGTGCTAATATGAGAATCCTCAGTGAGTGATGAAAGGGAGCGCTATGCGCTGAGAAAAGTCTCTTTTCCAGACGAGTGAGAATTTCTCTCCCTCAGATCTTGGGAGCTGGCAGGCTTACTTGGGGATGCTAAACATAGCTTTCATTTTCCTCTGTGTCTAGACTGGCTTCTCTCCGTGCTTTCTGCTGCGGGTTTCTTTTTTCGTACACTCAGGGAAGATTGTACCCTGATTGTCATGCCTCCGAGCCAGCGGGAAATTTGTTTAGCCAGCAGTATTGTGAAGTACCTGTGACACGGTACCCCCCACCCCCCCTTGTCTTCTTTGCGACTGGACTACTCATTAAGCACAACGCATGGGGATGTTTCAACTGTGAGGAAAATATTTTGTGCACTTTTTGTAGAATTTCTAGTTGTTGATTAACTCTTCTTCCTATTCGTCCTCAGTGGTGGAGCGTCAGATCCTTTTAGGTAGACGCACTGACACAAGAATGTAAAAAATCCTGTAACCAAAGCGGGTTTCTAAATGCAGGAGTATTATCAGCAAAATGTACTAAAAGTACTTATTCTGCAGTACAATGGCCACATACGTTATGATGAATTTGCATGTAGCTTTTTACCGTTGTAGCTGGTCGAGGAGGAGCTGGTTTTGACTAAATTAAGTTGATTCCAGTGGTTCCAAACCCTGGGGTCACAAGATAAATCCGGCTAGGAAAGAACAAACAAAAGAACTACGCACATCTGTAGTCGTCCTTTAGGCTTTCCTCAAATCTTTGCTGTTGTGTGAAATATTTGATTATTTAAATTTTTTTCTGCTTCAAAATTTGGAACTTGAGTGCAAAGACTTGAGACTTACTTGTGACTTGCAAAACCATGACTTGGTCCCACCTCTGGTGACAGGTGTGCTGTATGAAGCTCAAATCTTCTACACTGCTAGTAGCCTACTTTTCACTCCGACGGCTAAAAAAGTAACATTTTGAAATATTGGATTTCTAATAAGAAGATGACAAATGTCTTCTCGCATCGACTTCACCCCCTACGAGCTTAATGAACAAGGCGCTCTTGAAATTCCTGTTCGGTCCCAATGGAACTGGTATGAATGAAAGATTACATGTCCAGCGTGTTGGACCCTTACTTTACTTTATTTGAAAAGTTGCAGCTGAGCTCTGCCACTTGGGCGTTGTAAAGCCAGACTCGGTGAAGTAAACAGTATTTCCTCACCCGAGTGTTAAAGTCTTTAGCAACATGACAAAGTAAAAAAAAAAAAAACCATTAGTCACAAAACAAGATCCGAGGTTGTAGTTTTTCTTTTTTGAGGGGTTGGGAGGGAGATGTGTCATGCTTCTTAAGAGAGACAGTTTGCCTGTGGCTGCATTTTTGTTGTCGTCAGGCAAGTCCCTGCACTGCAGCGCAGGCCTGCCCGAGTGGAGATTCTTTAGGAGGGAGATCTCTTTCTTCTCAAAGCTTCTTACCGAGAGCTATTAATTATTAACTGGGAGAGCTAACATCAAAGGAGCAGACTAGCGCTGAATTAAATGGGGGGAGGCTGGAGCCTGGCAGCGTGGAGCAGAGAGAGAGAACTGGGTGAGAGGGAAAAGCCGAGAGAGATTTTCGCTCCGCTCGCTTTTGAACATTCCAAGTACAGAAAAAAAGAAAAGAAAAGTGAGAGAAGAAAGAAAAAAGCGCGATGTTAGTTTATGTAAAGGAGGCAGGACGAAAGAGAGAAAGTTGGAGGAGCTTGTGTTCATGGCGCGTCGCTGTTTGAATGTGTCCGTGTTTGACAAGGCTTACACACACACACACACACTCTCTCTCTCTCGGGGAAAGATCGAATCAGTTTGCAGGGTTAATTAGCCTTTGATGAGCTATGAAAGTCAGATTCATAAACATATTGTCCGTGGATTAAACCGAGGGGGAAATCTAATTGAGACGTGGGCTCGCGCGCACACTTCAGAGTCGAGATGCGTTTACGTTTTCCTGAAGCTGATTTAAAGTGGGATTCACAGAGTGGTGCATCTGCCACCCCCTTATGTCAAAGGCCTTTTGTTAGTTTGCTTCTATGTTCCTCTTGCTGCGACTTGTCCGCGCGGCAGCAGTCCCACCAAAGGTACCTGCAGTCAGGAAGACCCACGCGCGTGTTGCATATTCTATATTTAGTATGATTAATGACTCATTGATTCGGGAGAGTGCATATACCGGTACCTCTGGTTCTAGCTGCTAGAACAACTAGCTGCTGTAAAGTGGCAGAAACATCTGAACCGGAAGTGCAGGTGAATGAGTAAAAAAAAAAAAAACTATTTCAAAATAAAACTTTTAAATAATTGAATACATCAGGTCTTCTTGCTTAACGAACTGCTTTGACTAAGACCGGAGTAGTGCTGAAAGAAGTCCATTTACAGAAAAGTAGTAATTAACAAATTGGTCTTTTTCTTCAGTCGACGTCACAAACATTTTTCTATCATTATGACTTGGAAAGTTAATGACTGTTGGTCAGTCCAAACAAGACCTTACTTTGGCCTCACAGGACCGGTGGTGGTCCTTCTATAGACCCAAACATCGGGAGAAATCATCGAGAGATTATTGAATAATTGAGACAACCATTAGCTGCAGCTCTCGTCACAAATTAAAAGTAAATCACAAGGTTATATATATGTATATATATATATATATATGAATATTAAGTAGACAAACATAAGATAGAGGATTTCAAACCGGAGACGAGCAGTCGATGAACGGTTCGATAAGTATGAAAATGATGTCAATCGTGTGCAGAAGTGTCTTGAAGCTGCATTCTCTCTAATGGCCATCAGGGGGCGACTCCAGAAGTCAGATTGTATAGAAGTCTATGAGAAAATGACTCTACTTCTCTCTTGATTTATTCCCTCAGTAAACATTGTAAACATGAGTTTATGGTCTCAATCTCTAGTTGCAAGTCTTCTTCAATACAGCATGATGTTCATTTAGTAAATGATGGTTTAATTTAGAGTCAAATAGACCATAAAGTAGGGTATGCTTTAGGGCGGGGCTACCTTGTGATTGACAGGTCGCTACCAGAGCAGTATACGGCGTCTCTACGTCACTCGCCCGCAGTCCTAATACGCTCACTTCTGTTCACCGGTTGCAAAAAGCCTGAATGGCAAACTCGAGGCTTCCCAAATGTCATCCACCAACCAATGGATGACATCACGATGATGACGTCCACTTCTCATAGACGGTCTATGGGCGCATCATTGTTTGCCACGTGTTTGCAGTGCTCTCTCTCTCTCTCTCTCTCTCTCTCTCTCTCTCTCTCTCTCTCTCTGTCTGTGTGTCCTCTGTAAGGGCCTGCTGACTGGAGCGATGACACTCTGGAGCCACTTGGCAACAGAGTCACAGCACTGTACATTGTCACTTTGATCTCCCCCCCACACACCCCACACCGACCCTCTTCTCCCTCCAGTTATGATGAGCGCTGGCAAGAACCCAAGGGCACTCGACAATACCAGGATATGATTCCAGCAGAGCTATTTTAGATCATGTAGCGCCGACATCAAAACGTTGTCTAAATAGGGCGCCGTGAATCAAGCGGGGTGAGAACGGGTTGTAGGGGAAAGCAGCAGTTAAGATAAAGGAACTTTTCTTTTTTTTTTCTTTTTCCCAGACGAGGGGAAGCCAATTTGGATTCTGCGAGGAGATACTTGTGCTTCTGCAGATCCAAGCGTTTCCTTTATCTCTTGCCTTTAGCAGAAGTCTTCAAAAGACCTCTGTGTTGTGACTCTCCCTGCTCTCAGATGAAAGAAGCTCACATTTTTTTAGCAGTCTGAAATCCACCGCAACTTTATTCAACTTTCCTGAGCGTGCGCAGCCGAATTCAACACCATGTCGTTGCAGAGTTGCAGCACATGCACACATTATTGGTTGTTGACGCATTTATGCAAATGTCATGCTGTTGGCGTAACGCGGTGCAGGTTTACTTCCATTGACATCATGATGACTGCAGAGAAAGAGACGCATGGGCCACATGTGCGCCCTAGCAAGTGACATCAACGGCTTGTTTACCTCTTTTCTTTCTCATTTGCTCATTCCAGAGGATCTGCACGTTTCACTCAGGCAGAGAACTCCCTCTAGTGGCCTGAATCTGAATGTGAAAACTCGCGGTTGACATTGTGATCACACACTCCCCAAACTCTTTGTTCACTCGTGCTGGATATAGCTAACGATTTCTTTTTCTTTCTTTTTTTTGTCTTGTGTTTTGCAGGCAAAGAGAGCAGTGCAGCGGGGAGCCACAGCCGTCATCTTTGATGTGTCGGAGAATCCGGATGCCATCGACCAGGTTTGTGCAGACCTAAAAAAATGACCCAGGCGTTCACACACTCGCGTTTCAGCAACACCGAAAAGCTCTAATCTGTCTTGATCCGTCTATGAAAGACACTCAGCAGCATGCCCTTCTGACTGGCTGGCTGGCTGTGCGTGTGCTGTTTGTGCAAACAATGCTCTTTCTATCTTAAGTTCAGCTCAAAAGCTTGTTGGATCAGCCCGGCGTACTCCACCATTCTGGGCCTTTTGAGCTCAGCTTGTGTTTGGAGGAGTGCACTGCACCTCTTACAGGACTGCAAATGGATCTCCAGGTTCAGCTTTCACTAGACCATGACCAAACTCTGTTAAGCTCATAATTGCACAGGTAGCACACATTACCTCATCCCCTAAGACTCTGTGGATGTGTCTGTGGGTGCACATTTTTGGGGCAGCGCACACGGGCCTCGGTAAGAACAAAGTGCGTTTCTTGTCGCACACATCCGGACATTCCTCCTTCTTTCTTCCACTCTTTCTTGTGCTTGAGTCTTATGCTGTTAAGAGGTATAATACACAAGTTGCGCCTTTGTCGCAAGAATTCTCCTGTGGTATTCATCCTCGCCACGCCAGGTCTGGACTTGCAGGTTTTGTTTTTTTTTTCCCTCGCCTCCTCTTCTCTGCCGCTGGGTCGTAAAGCTCCTAGCTCAGAGATAAAAGGGATTGCGCGCAGACCACATGAAAGGCAGCGCTGGGCGGCTGTGTTAAATTCCCCCGAGAGGCTTTTCCAGTCTGAGCGGCCCGATCAGCAGAGACAGGACCCACAAGGCCGAGGGGCAGGGAGGAGGAGCTTAGCGAGAATTAAGGTCCCAGAGCTGAAATTAAGAGAGAAGCTTTATGAAGTTATGTACTCGACCGCCTTTTTCCTCTATTTATACTTTGTGATTGTGGCTGAAACACTTCTGTTTTGTTTGTAACTTTCTTTAAACAGTAACACACACGTTTTTCTTTAATGGACTGATAGGTGTGCTTTTTCTTTAATTTCTTGAATTGTTTGTCGGAGGCCAAGCTGCTGCAGTCTTGGTGGAGTCATTTCTCAGATTCAAGCGAGAGATCAAACGTTTCAAAGTCTGTACTTTTGAACCGGAACACACAGTATTTCACTGGAGAACATGACGGCAGCAGAAGAAATAGAAATATGAATATCCTCGGTATTTCCCTTTTGGGCTTTTCAAATTACAGATTCCAAGCAGCAGACGAGAGGAGGAGTGAAGGAGGATGTCAACTGACTCAAAAGCCAGAGCATACTCTTCATTGACTGCTTCCCCCAGCTCCCTCTGGCAAACTGCGACCACAGTTTCCATGTCTGAAAGTTCCTTTTCTGTAGTTGGTAGAAGAGTTCATGGTCTTTGACTCCAACTTTGTTGATTGAGTGTGACTGTAAAAGACACACCACATATTTAAATCTTTAAAGGTACAGGGTGTAGCATTTAGGAAGGATCTATTGGCAGAGCTGGAATATAATATTACTGAGTATGTTTTTCTTTAGTGTATAATCCCCTAAAAGCAAGAATCGTGTGTGTATTCGTTAGCTTAGAATGAGCCGTTGACGTCTACATACGAAGCGGTTCCTCTGCACGGAGCCGGCTGCGGTGTTTCTACGGTAGCCCAGAACGGACAAACCAAACACGGGTTCTAAAGAGAGCCGTTTGTGTTTTTCTGTAGTTCTCCAACACGCTTGGCACACGGGGAGTTTCAGTTGGTTACAATCTGCAACCTCCCCGCTAGATGCCGGTTAATCTTTCACACTAGACGTTTATGTCTGAATGTTGAATTTAAAGAGATACGCCACTGATTTAGTATTGCACATCCATAAAGTTGGGGGACTCACAAGCGCCATATATATAAAAAAAAAAAGAATGGTCAAACTGCAGATGCTGAGATATTCTGACTTTTAATCTCCAGGATGAATGAAGCTCAAAAAACACAAGATCCTACATTTCCCATAATGCCACTTAAGACATTATACGACAGTTTTAACCAAAAGGTCATTATTTACCAGATAAACCAGATCTATCTTTGTCATACATTAGTGCGTCTGTGTTTGATATCGTTTTCTCTCTGCTCTCCTCAGCTCAACCAGGTTGCCGAGGATCCTCTGAAGCGGCCGGTGGTTTACGTGAAGGGCAACGACGCCATCAAGCTGATGAACATCGTCAACAAGCAGAAAGTGGCTCGCGCTCGGATACAACACAGACCACCGAGGGTAAGCGCGCATGCCAAAACCTCAAACCGCGCTCCGTGTAGATGACGTGCGCGTCTGTGTGCGTGTGTGACACTAAACTGAGGCACATGGGAGGAACATGAGGAAGAGGTGAACATGTATGTGAGGCCCACGTACCAAACGGCGCTGAGTTTTCAGATGTGAAGACAAACGAAAATTCCAGCTGTGACATCTGACCCTTTTCCTTTCTTCTCCGCTCTCCGCTGCCCCCGAGGCCGAGCAACTGTTTGTTGTTCTTCTTCTTTTTCCGCAGCACTGTGGGAGATTAATATCAGCCATTCAAAGAGCTGTTTGTTTGCTCTGAATATTCGATAAGAGGAGCGGCACACTTTGAGGTCAAATAACTAGACATAATAAAAGCCCGAGAGAAAGGACTGTCCGATAACAGACGTTTCTCCGATGAAGAATAAAACAATCTGTTCTCAGTGAGTTGTGAGCCGTGGTTTGGGTGCTGAATTCATTGGAAGTCATCACCCCCTTAAAGGGTAGTTCGGGTGTTGTGAATAGGGTTGTATCAGGTACTTCATAATCAGTGTACTACTACAGTAGATGAAGGTCGGCACGCCCCCTTGTTCAGATATTTAGAACATTTTCAGACGTGGAAGTGAACTGAAAGTGAAACCCATCTATGCTGTTTTTGAGTCTTGGTGCTCTGAGGAGAGCATAGACAAGTTTCACTGTCGGAGAAGTCTGTCTGCCGGCAAGATAAAGCGGTGAAAATATTCCAAGTGTAGCGTACACTTAAACGGATATTGATGTGTTTCTTTCATATGTGGCCACCATAAGTATTTCTGCTGCCCTCTTCCAACAGCAGTACACAGCTTTACTCTCGTGTCAGTACTCCTGCCCGTCATCTACTGTAGGTGATACAATGACTGTGGATAAGTACCTCTTACAACCCCACTTCCAAAACACCCGAATTATCCCTTTAAGTCTCCGTCCTCTCAAGAAAACAAAAAAAACATCAAATCTTCTCTTTTTCTTTGAAATCTGCAGTCGGGCCGCAACTAATTATTTTCTCTGGTCCTCTGAGCGACTAACACAGCTAATGTCCTGAATGAAAAATACCACCGTTATCCTTTTAATAGCCTTTTTTTAACAAATTGTATGTGACTATTATTTGACAAATTTGTGTTTGTGTTGCCCTCCTCCACAGCAGCCCACGGAATACTTTGACATGGGCATCTTCCTGGCTTTCTTCGTGGTTGTGTCGCTGGTTTGCCTCATTCTGCTCGTCAAGATCAAACTCAAGCAAAGGAGAAGCCAGGTTAGTGTCTGCTCATCCAGAACAGAAACAACATGAGAGACTTTATTTATGAACCCCAGTTTGAGTCACATGGGACCCAAAGGGATGTGGGCCTCTTACACCAAAACACACGATGCCGCGCCTCGTGTTTTTTTTCCCGGTCGACGCGACTTGTTGTTCCAGGCGTTGGGTTAGGCGACGGTAGCGCTGCTGTTGATTGATTCCTCTCGCGTGTCAACAAAAAGTTCTCAGTGGAGGCTTATGTCGGGGCGCGTGAGTCAGGATTAGCATTTAAATAAGAGAGACAGAGGTGTCATGACAGGGCAGAAAACCGGCAGCGGCATGCGTTAAAACAGGTGTAATCCTGCCTGCACACGCGTGTGTGTGTGTGTTTCTCTCTCTGTGTGTGTGTGTGTGTGTGTGTGTGTGTGTGTGTGTGTGTGTGTGT